TTATGTCAAATTTATATCTTTTACCGCTGTCAAACAAGCTCCAACTAAAGTAAAATATTTACTACCAGTCTGCCAAATTTTACGGAATTTCACAGAGGGGAAAGCAAGAAAATTCACTGTCAGTTTTGCTTTTTGTGCTCATGTTGACGTCATAGAAATAATATCGAAAAACACTCGTGTTTTCCTTCAAGGGCACCCAGATTACTTGAGCTTTCGTCCTCAGCACACATTCAATCGTAAAACTATAGGGAGCCACTTAAAATTACAGTGTTGCACATTGTGGTTGGGTACATGTCTACGGATGTATTTCACCTTCTGGTGTCTTGATGTACCCTACTCTTACAATCGCTCATTCTCTTTGCTCCCCTGTGAGGCATAAGGCCTTATGGTGTGCATGTACTATGACAGGTACATTTTTAGCATTTTGCTTGGGAAAATTTTAGTTTTAAATGTGCTTTTCATTCTAACATGAGATAAGACATGGTAAAACAAATGTGCTTGAAATACCCATTTGACATCACAGAGTGGAAAAATAGATCTAGATTTTAGATCTAAATCCAATTGGTTTGGATTCATACATCCAGGCAGAGGTGCCCTCCCTACCATGGGGTAACATGCATCAAATATTGTTTTCAGAATTTCTACTCAACCTTAAAACTATCAACCATCTTTAACAAGAAACTGTTTCTTTGGCAGGAAATTTCTCAAGCCTCTTTCTTGGAAGTATTAGTGAAGTCGGGACACAAGATGCACATGAAGAAAAGAAATTTTCACTGGTGATGGTGAAATTGCTGAAGGAAAAATACATGTTAGAGGCTGAACAAGGAAATTTTGAGGAAGATGCCATTGCCCTGACCAAATTCAGTCACCCGTATGTGCAAAGTTTGTTTGGTGTCTGTGTGGATGGTCTTCCTCTCTGCCTCGTGTTTGAGTTCAGTGAGCATGACGAATGCCTGCAACAGTTCCTAATCGAATCAGGACGTGGCCACTGTTCAATCCATCGTAGAGCTGACCTGCATAACTCCAAACCAAAGCTGTCAAATATAGATCAGATTTCCATGGCCAAGCAGATAGCGAATGGTATGGAATACCTAGCAGATAAGGGCTATGTTCACAGAGAGCTATGTACCAAGAACTGCATCATTGGTAAAGGAATGGTAGTCAAGATATCAAATTTAGGATTCTCGTGGAAAGGCCCAAATAGTGATTACTTCTCCTTGGATGAAAATGAGAGGGCTGGGTACCCTGTGAGGTGGCTCCCCCCTGAAACTCTCCAGTGTGGCGTATTCAAAGAGGAAACTGACATCTGGTCTTTTGGTGTTGTGTTATGGGAGATCTACTCCAGTGGATTGACACCATACTATGGGATGAATGATGACGAAGTGATATCTTTGGTGGAAGGGGGAGACACACTTCCTTGCCCTAAGGAATGCCCTAATGAAATGTATGAAGTCATGCAAGGCTGCTGGAGTTCGGAACCAACAGAAAGGCCACGTTTCAACAGCATTCACCAGCGTATCTCATCTCTGTTTAATGGAGTGCCAGTGTAACTGTTAAACTGTTCAGTGATGAGCAAGTGTAATCCTACTGCAGCAATCACTTCCAAGCCACATTTGACATTACCCTACAGGAATTCAATGTACATAGTGATCGCAGGCTAATAAGAGCTATAATTGAAATGTTAACACCCTTGGAACAATGTGTGTAAGTACCTATGGAGCTTGTGAAATAGAGCTCGGTTTGCAAATATAGCAAATATTTAATTTTGGTGGAGGGTTTTCTTTCCATTTGCAAAATAAGTTAATGCCATAGGATGTTTTTTGGAACAGTTATTGATTTTGTCATTAAGCTTCTACTTGAGGTTTCTGTAGGCTGTTGTGGGCCTTTAGTATTTTCCCCTGTTAAATAAGAAATTGATTTTAAACATGGACAAGCAGAATACATGTATGTAATTTAAAATCCATAAAATGTGAGAAATAGTTTCTTAGCCACAATTGTTTAGGGGTATGAATGAAAAATGATTGAAAAAGTCACAATCCTATACACCTACATATAGCTGACTTATGTCTGCGGTTGAGAATATGAGGCATATTGAAATCAAACATACAAGGGAAAATTGGATGATTTTAAAATAACTTGGAGGAAAACACTACACTATTAAAAAAATATCAGAAACGATTATGGAAAGAAGCTACATTTTTGTTTCGCTTTAAATTGAGTGAAAATCAAATATAAAAATATGTTGACCGGGGAACAAGCCATAATGACAGCAAGTGCCCAGACACATTGCTTGTTAACATGCATGGTACTCAAATTCTTTACTCAACTGCAAATATTGGAATTGTCTGTTTTTAGGATTGAATTTACGAAGTGTACCAAGAATTCCTCTTGTTTTGCTCTCGTTATCATAACATAGAAATGTTTGCCCGTTAATACTTGCGACAGTACTCTATCTAATTTTGGCTCTCAAACTTTAAACCACTCGCGTTGCGAGTGTAAAACTTGAGCCCTGTTATGTAATCAGCCAAGATACAAATAACTAAAATAATTATGTTGTCATGTCTGCCTTAACATTATTGATTATTAAGTAAACTAACTTAATTATTTAGGATATTTATTGAACTCTTCAAACTAAAAACCATCGTGAACAACCAGCTAATTGGTGTCAGTTTCAGTTTTATAAGTTCACGAGTGAAAGACACTTGCAATTTCTTTAACAAGAGTGTTTTTCTTAGATTGTGATAGCTTTAAATTTTTTTTTTTTTTTTTTTGCTACATCTCAACAACTTTTAACTTTTTGATCTACAAATTAATACATATTTACAAATCTTTCTGGTTGTTTTTCCTAAATGAAGGCTTTGATATTTCTGAGTATCTACAATACTATTACAATTTCCCCAGTTTTCATTTTATTTCCTAGCCTTATTCAATTAAGCTCAAGCTTTTTTTAACTTGTTCACCTAGTACAGGCAAAATTTAATCTTCATTTAAGTGTTAATATAAAAATTATGATTTCAGCCCATCAACAGTTTCTTAAGGTTAATAAGTTTAACTATTATATGGCCAGGTAGTCTTGCGGTAGATCCGAGCATTTTGATTGGTTCTAAGATGTGTAATTCTTGTTTTCAAAAGTTAGCAAGAATGGTCCAAGTGCCATATAATAACCTGAACTGGGGAAATATTGGTGCTTGGTCCATACTGCCAAGACCAACCCTTGTGCTCGGTTATAACCAGGTTAATACTTTAAAAAATACTTGTTCACTTAGAAGTGATAAAAATTTAATTAATGTACGCTTCAACTTGAAACATTTTTTAAAAATGACTAGGATAACCCTGGGGAAAAGAATTTGTGGTTGCTAATTTTCACAATAATGAATAAAGTACTGTTCATAATAGCTTCACTTCCCAGTCAGTGTGCTGGGAAACCTGGCAAGATTAGTTTGACTATTGAGCCTATATCATCACAATTTGCTGATGATCACTGGTACTATGGGCTCAGTTTTTCAATTTACCAAGTACATCAAACTAAAAAAACACTTCACATTTGCCCACCAACAATGCAAAGCACTTGCCTTTACAAAACTCCATTAATTTTATAATTGCAGCAATATTAACATTGCAGGTAAAGACAGAGGCTTACCCTAACTGCTTATGATCTATCAGGTCCAGTCAAGATTAAAGAATTGACTCTCACCGAGCATCAGTCATCTTTGCAACAGCTTAAACTTATTCAGTAATGTTTTTTTTTTTAATATAATTATTATTATTGCGGTAATTATTATTGCTGTTGCAGTACTGAATGTCCACTACACCACAGAAAGTCCCTTCAATTTCTATTTTATACACTAGAACTAGACATCTTCTCAGTCCTGATCCAAGAAACAGCTCTACCAACCAATCAGTGAACTGCCTAACCTTTCCAGCCAGACTTCTAAGTGTAAATAAACACTCAAGCTACAGTCAGTGTTAATTGTAGCAGAACCACAGGATCATAACCAAGAAATTGAACTGCCCAGCACTGGTATTTTGATGAGACAATAACAATGCCTATAGAAACCAAGTTGTTACAGGACAAGCTAGCAATATCCAGTTTGTTCATGGATAGACTTTGATAAATCAGTACTTTCTCCAATCTCTGGTGACAGTTATACAGTTGTCATAGTAAGGCCTTGACTAGATGAACGCTCAGCCCAGGGATTTGCTTCTACAATGGGCGGGGCACTTAACACAGGACTACAAATGCCTGACAAACTCTGTGAATGAGACATGGGATAATTCTGAAGAATTGTTTGCACAGGGTTAACTGTTGGAATGGTGGCTAGGCCATCAGGATAGTCCTTCAACAGCTCAGAGAAACGTTCTTTGACACAAAGTGCAGAGAGGCGTGCATCACCATCTTGGTCCCAGCAATCTTCTATCGTCTCCCTCAATGTTCTTAGTCCCTTGGAAAAGCAAAAGAAATGATTATAATTTCATAATGGCTAGTGAGGTCTAGAGCTAAAAATGTTAGCTGCATTGTTCTGTAACAGCAATTTTCCCTGTACATGTAGCTCTTAAGTTGGTCAAAAAAAATTCTGAAGGTGTATATTTTAGGTCAACTTGAACATCTCACCCGGTCTTAACTGGGCGGAATCTAATGTTTACAATTAAGACTTGGGTTACACTGTTAAAAAAACCCTCTTCAAGCCACAAGGACTGAAACAGGGGTTCCAAAATGACACCAAATAGAGTGGAACCACTTTTTAAGCAAGCACCCTGTTAACACGGTTATGTTAACAGGGTGCTTGTATTGGAGGTTCTTCAATAAGGATACTGACTGACCGTTGACACCAGAAGAAAATGCAGGATTCTGAAACACCAGCAACAGTTACTCACATTTCTGTTTACTTTAAGAAAACAATAAAAAGCACTTACAGGATGGTTGTGTTTCCACACATCAGGAAAACCTGGCCTCCTCTTCTGTCGAGCAACGAACTCTTGCATAGCTTCATTGGTGATCGATTCTCCCAGCTCAGTTTCAAATGGTGGTTTGTAACCTGGTACAGGCTCTCCTGATGGAAAAGAACACCAATCAGTCAGACCTTCACAGTACAATCCTGATAGCATTTGAATACCATTACCACTTAGTAACAACTATGTATAAAGAAAATCCTTTGTGACAGCCAAGAGTCAACTTGGATTTTCAGCTTGGCTAAAGGATTTTATCCACCACTTTCCTGATGGCCACAATCCATTTTAAACCTTTCATTTGTAGATGAAATAAGGCCATGCCCAGGGAGAATGCCCTTTAGATATTAATACATGCCAATAGCTACAACTTGCCTACAGGGTGTTCTCCCTTGCTTACATTATTATCTTACAAACTTGTCAATTTTGCCGATTTTATAAAGTTGTTATGTTTCTAAAGATGATTTTAGCAACATGTTGTACTCGTATACATGTAAGCTCCCCCTTACAAGAAAATTGGCAGCTCCACCAAAAAGCACATTCTGAACAAAAGGCACTTTTGCTGAATTTTACTGTTCATAGTTAACAAAATTCTCTAGCACTATGTTAGTATTGCACACTTACGTCCATATATGTCAGCACACCTCATTGCTATTTCCCACAACACCACTGACATGGCATAAACATCAATTTCTTTCAATGATGCCTCACACTCTCGTAAATTCACAGCTCCATCCAGGACTTCAGGTGCCATGTAACGCAAGGTTCCAACCTGTAAGTGAACTCTACTTAGAACAAAAGCTTTATTCAAAAATAATAATAATAATAATAATAATAATAATAATAATAATAATAATAATAATAATAATAATAATAAGGTGCTGGAGATGTAGAAAGAAGAGAAAAAGCAAACAAGGGGTGTTTCTTGGCTTCCCTCGGCAACTTGTTGTTGCCAGGAGCCAATGACAAAACCAGCTTCAATATCATCAATAGCTGTGCGAATCTTTAATAATAATAATAATAATAATAATAATAATAATTATAAAAAGAAGTGTTTATTGTGACAAAAACTAGAGCTAAGCTTTACAAAATGCTATAATATTTACCTAATTTGATGTCTGTTAAACCTGTAAAACATGTTTCCATATCTAATCATGATATGGTTACTACAACTAATACTACTATCATCATCATAACATCATCATCATCATCATCATCATCATCATCATCATCATCATAATAATAATAATAAAAGTCACTGAAAAACTAATGAAAGTCACTGAAAAACTATCCAAATATAAGGACTTCGAAATCGAAACAAGCCGAATGTGGGGCATGAGAACGGAAACAATACCAGTTATCGTTGGAGCACTTGGAGGTATCAAAAAGGGACTAGAAACTTATCTTGGAAGAATTCCTGGCCAATTAAGCATCAGTGAACTACAAAAGATAACCTTGCTAGGTACAGCACACATTTTGAGGAGGGTGCTATCAAGCTAAAAACTGGCTATCCCCTAGTGCCCCAGGACCATGGTTTGGTCTCGGCCCTAAGGACTATAAGCAAACATTACGTGAGGACAATAATAATAATGATAATGATAATGATAATGATAATGAAAATGATAGTGATAGTGATAGTGATAGTGATAGTGATAGTGATAGTGATAGTGATAGTGATAGTGATAATAATAATAATAATAATAATAATAATAATAATAATGTGTGTTGGTAATTAAGTTCTAAATTAAAGTAATTTTTTCTTCACGCTAACATAAATACCAGAAGGCAGAGTGTAGAGAGGGGAGTTACAGAGAAGGATGTCCCTAGAGAAAAATTTAGTGAGACATATAATGGCATTTAACTTTGACAAAAGCGTTTAGAAAATATCCCTATGATTATACGTGTGCTGATTGGTTTAAAATCGTGTTTCTATAACTTGATAGAAACACAGAACCAGCATGAGCTGTTGACGTAATTATGGCGTAAACAAAGGGAATTTACATTTTGATGATCAAAGTACATGTAAACAAGTTGTTTTCTTTTTGATGCAGTATTTTCTAAAAGAAATAGAAAACATATTCTCTGTGTTTCTATTGAGTTATAAAAACACTCGTGGAAGTTTAGTAGAACTTGAAAAAGCTGTGGAAACACTCACCTGTCTGCTCATGTTCCCACAGCATTTCTTGTTCTCCCAAACTTCTACTCGTGTTTCTATCACTTGATAGAAACCCAGTAGGTAGATGTTTTCTATTTCTTAATTAAAGAACCCTACTCTTGATTCTGGATCTTTCCTGAAGCCATAGCATTAGAACAAGTATTCAATCCTACCTCAGTGATGATGTCATCAGTGGATTTTGTCGATCCAATTTCTGGCATTTTCATAGCAAAGCCGAAGTCTGACAGTACACACGTAACATTTGGGCTGACCAACACATTCCTGCTACTTAGATCACGGTGAACAAAGCAAGGCTTTCCCTCGTTATCATCTGCCAAAAGCAATTAGAGACAATCTGAAATTAATTTCGCTGAATTGCATTTTCAAAGTATTACAGCACAAAAAAAAAAAAAAACCGTCCGCTGTGAAGCAGAAATCTCTTTTCTCTTGGTCCTCTGGTGTGCTTTAACCATCAATGATTCACAGGGCTGCCTTAATTAATCAGCAAAGTTTTACAAGAGCCATTATTATTATTACACAGGGTTTGTAGTCTTTTAAGCTTTTAAAATTCCCTGACTTTCCATGATCTTTCTGAGTTTTCCATGACAAACATTAAGCAGCTGTTCTCACAGTAGTATCAAAACAATAATTTATTTCAGGTATTTTCCAGCATTATAATGCATAAAATGCGTGATTGTGTTTTTTTTTTTGTTTTTTTTTCTTTTCCGACTTTTTTATCTTTTTGCATTTTTTTCATTCTCAGAAAGCATATTGCTTTTCCATGACTTTCTGTGACCCTCACTTAAATTCCATGACTTTCCAGGTCTGGAAATTGAAATAATAAATTCCATGACTTTCCAGGTTTTCCAACAGCCATATAAACCCTGCTATAAAGTAAATACTTAATTGAGCTAGGTTGTTCATCTGTATTGGGAATATTGGTCACCTTCCTTTTCCACAAGTTTGTGGACCTCACCTGCACCTTGATCAATAAACTTTCAAAAAAGCAATTCATCAACCAATATTTCCCCATTACAAACCTTATGTTCAATAATATAATAATGACATAAAGCCTCTTTAGAGCTTACCATCATTATGTAAGTAAGCCAGCCCAGCTGCCAGGGAATGACTAAGAGTGCACATCTCTTGCCATGTGACTGTACTGCTCTTAAGAAATTGCATCAGTGATCCTTTGCTGTGGTATTCCGTCACCAACAAATATTCTGGTCCATAAGTACTCTCTCTTTGTGATGCAAAAAAGAACTACAAGAAAATAACACTGCAGTGAAATGACAAATCACTTAATGCCTCCCCTCGAATCGCATATTTGAGGGGAGATGCTTAATTTAAGTTTTGGCCCATAGGAGGGGCACTCATTCAAAGGAGCGCTTATTTGAGGGGAGGCGCTAATTCAAGGATTTACGGTATATAAGCATTTCTGTCAAAGATGCCTTAAAAAACATGCTTCTTCGCAAACTTCTGGAAACTTTTGATACTGATCATTTTAAGTATATTAAGAGATCTTCCTGTTATCTCACCTTTAATATACTTGGATGTGACAAATGTCTTTCATATACATCTCGTTCAGTTTCCCACGTGCCCCTGTGCTCCGGCGGAAATACTTTGACAGCAACAACCTCACCTTTAAAGAAACATCGCCACACCGAGCCATAACGGCCTTGGCCTACCATCTCCTCAAAGTGCAACCCACTAAGATCAAGTGGTAGCTCTAGAGGTTCTCTCTCCTCAGCTCCTCTATCAGTAGACTTAGCAGTGTGACATTTTACTTTGTACATGTAGACAACAACTGCTGTCATTATTATGGCCAGGACAACAAACATCACACAAGCAATCACAACCGTGACAGTCATGTCTGATTGTTGACTGGTGGACTCTGTAAAAGAAAATGACCATTTCTAAATTCCAGAAATTTTGTTTATTAATAAAGTATAAAATCTCCAAGCAGTTCTAAATGGTGCCTCCCAAGAGCCTTAAAGATTGGCACAAGTATAAGCTGCCTATGCGCAACATTAATAAAATTTAAAGGTATTGGGGGTTTGAGCCCATAATTAACAAATGATTCCAAGATACTTCAAAGATCTTTGTAGACCACTGAATATAACAACTCTCGCATGAGATTGAAATGAGTGCGTAAACTGACATGCAATTTATCATTCTGAGCTAATTATATCAACTTACCCCCTGCAGTTGAGGCTGGTGCAACAGTAGACTCACGCTCCACATAGTACACTGAGGTAAAGTTCGTGTTACACATGTCCATCTTGCAGCAACAGAAGCCAGACACATTTTTGCTTTTGAAGGCATCATAGTTTGGATTTTGAATGCAATCATCTTGACAACGTCTAGAAGGATTATGCGCAGAGACCTTAAAGCATCCTTTCTTAAGAACTATCTGGACGGTTTCATTTCTTTCATTCACCTCATCTCTCCAAAGAACAAAACAGCTATCATCACTATTTTTGCATTTCTCAGTCCCGTTCAAAATTCCTCTATCTGTGTGGTAAGAATCGCACACCAAATTTATCTCTTCTTGACAAGAACCTGGCAAAAGAGAAACATGAAGAGTTTCCTACAGACAATCATTTATATTTCAGATTTTACAGAATTTTAAACAAATCTTGTTATGGCCTTGGATCCAATAACTTATTGTTATTGGTGACAAGTGGTTCCAGAAAATCTCCATATCTCCACTAAGGATGGTTATTTGGTTTGTACCCCCCTCCCCCCTGGAATTTCCAGTTTAGCTTTATACTTTCCCTTTAAATATTTGGCTGTTTAGACTGCTCCCCTTACCTCAGAATTTCTAGTGACCATCCTTGGTGTGGGCAAGGATATTTTCTAGACCCACACAATGCAGGGGTTTCATTAAGGACCGGGAACCAGGCTGTGAGGATGATTTTTCTTTTTCATGATTTGTGGACGGCATTATTTTTCTCTCTCTTTAGTTACCATGATTTTCAAAATAATTTTCTGTGATATGAGATATAAATGTTCATTTTGTCGCACACCCATATTTTGATTACATTTTCTATTTTTTTCCACACCTGTCAAAGTGTAATAAACATAAGGCATAACTGTGAAAGGTAATCCATTAGATCATTCTGCATTTCTCTTCAGTGGAACACGGTTTTCCTTTTACCTCATGTGGTAAAAAAGAGGTGGAGAAATGACAATGCTGTTGAACAATGTCGTTCTTTACACATAAAAATTCAATAACTCATTAACTTTGCGAGTTCAATTGGAAATGTGTTACCTAAAATATTTAATACCTTATTACATGAAATTTTCACGAAACATTCATTTCGTGATTTTGAGGTGTACATATTTTGTGACACTTAAATTCTGAAAGTTTGCAAAAATTTTGAATCACTTTAACTTCACGCTTTTGGGTAACACACAATTTATGTCCTTGGCAATATTACCTATACTTAAACATGTCCTTGAATTTAGTAAACCGACTTTATCAAAGTTACAGTAACGTCAAAATTAACAAAAATGCCACGGCAAGACTACAACAGTAACATAATGCGAGTCACTTAATTTTTGCATCATGTTATGTTCTCAACACCTATTATTTGTGTCACTTTAATTTTGCCATTTTTTTTTGAAAAGCAAAATTCATGAAATTAATGTGTTGTGAAATTTCATGTAATAAGATATTTCATTTTCCTTAAATTGTGAAAGGATCCCTTTTTCCACTTTGTGAAACGAGACATCCCCCTTTACCACCCTGTTATGGTTCTCTCTTGCTCGAGATCAAGTTCCCAAAACATACATATATTTTTTTATAACCAAATAGCAGGTATATTTTTTTATATATATACTCAAGAAGCAAAAACCAGTTCCTAATTGTCCAGAAGGCATGATCAGTTTGGTTTCTGGTCTGGGAAAGGTGCTTACACTACATATATTGTTTAATGATAAATACTACCAAGACCACAGGCTCTCAGGTATCATAGCCTGTTGCAAAGGGAATTATATGCATGCCCTTAAGCCAATAATACATCACTGATTTCGTTGCATATGTTTCCCCTCTAAAATAGCCCTGCAATAGAAACAATGTCATTAAGCTTATTAATTCTCACTGACATTTACCTTCCCTCACGCTTATCAATGTGGTTGTAGACAGCAGGATCACTAGGAAGCAGTAACCCCTCATATCCACAAAGGAATTTATACTGATCTGCAATAATTTAATAACGGTACGTTATAATAATATTAAGCTTAGGTGTCCGACACACATGCACAAAGTATTTCAAGTTGTACAATTTTTTTTTTAGGTTAGTGAAACACCTTCAAAGGCAATTGATAGACAGTCGTGCGAACAATAAAAAATGGTTATTGTGAAACTCAAGGGAAGGCAGCGGACAGTGCAGGAAACATGGAGATTCTTTTAGATATTGGTTATGTCTAAACAGGTCATCATTCCTGTCCGTTCACTTGTCAACATACACACAAAGCGTACACAGGGAAGAGCTTGTAAACTTTGCGTTAGCCTTACAAAACGTTCCAATATATTCCGGTGGAAGCACAATTCAAAAAGATTCTTTAGCTCAGCTTTCCAAAAAGCACGAAAGAAGTACTTACTGCTATAGACCAAGGTAGAAATCACAGGTATGAAGTTTAAGAAGCTGTAGTCTTCATGTCGCCACGAAAGCACACAGCACAATGGACGATTACTAGCAGAAAAATCAAGGTTTCGGCAAATGTTGAAAAACTCTCACCTTTCCTTTATTACCCGTTATTCGTTTGGCATCGAGAATCGCGACGAAAAGGTCTGAACTGATAAATATTTCTTTGGAATCGCCGCTCCTGTGTGAAGCATGACACAACCATTACAGACATTCGGCAACTAATCTCTCTCGTCTGTGGATTGAATATCGCCAATAGCCAATCAGCGGCCAAGAAACAGTGGATGTCAATCAAAAGAATTCATCTCCTGTCGCTGCTGTCGAAATTCGACCCTCTATTATGCCGCCATTACTGTTCCATTCTTGTTGTGTCTAGGTCTGTCTATGCGCTATCGGAAAGATCCTTGCAGCTGTTTGGCGTTTACAACCTTCAGACAATTTGCTCTGTTCACCAAACGTCACAGACATACAGAAATTTTGTCAGTAGACAATATTTCGATCTGAATACGGTGTAATTTCGGCCAAAAAAGACCGACAAGGTAGAAGTTATTTTATTTGCGTGAAATTCAGGCCGACTCACCGACGATCCAAAGTTATTTAAAAGATTATGTTTTTATTCCATGGCTCCTTTAAGTCTGGATCAATTCAAAGTCAACATTGTCGAAACTGCATTTAAAAACAAACATTGCCATGGAATCTATTATTAGTTCAATTAGTTGCGTACGGTGCAGAAAAAAGGACTTTCAAAACCCAAATAAAGCAGGCCTTTGTCAGTTACCATGTGCTAGCTATATTAAAATTTCAAGTAAGCGTATACAGTTTCGCGTGGAAACCTCATAAATGTGACTAATATTAATGCCATCTGAAGTCATGCCGCGTCTTATGCAATTAAATGTTGAGCAAGAAGAGACTGCACTGTGAAATAAATAGCGTATCAAAATGGAAGAATTTAGCCAGCGAGCAGGCTCAACGGCGAAAAGCGAAGCGATCAGGCGGGAAGGAGTCTGGTGAAGAGTGCTCCAACTCACAGCCCTCCAGGTGAAAAACATCGATTAACCAAGCCACACAATAGCTGCAGAAATTCTCGCGCGCTCACTGGCTAACTTTCTTCGCCAATAAGCGGTCAGACACATGAATTTATAATTATTTATGCGATGTTGACGCGACGAGCAAGAGCGGACAATTTGACAATTTGTTATTGTAAAAAAACAAATTGGCGTCAGTTTTTCATGCGTCTGTCCTGTTAAGGGGGTATGGTACCCTAAAATATGGCGATGTTCATGAAAAATTCAATTTCTTGGAAATACAAGAAATGCACGGGGGTGCACGGGGGTAACATATGAAATGCACGGGGGTGCTCGTCTGAAATTTTGAAGAGAACCCGTTAAGAGGTACCAAGATCCTGCTTTGTGGGCGTGGCTTGAAATTTTTTCACCCTTACTAGGTACCAATTCTAAAACAACGCATTATCTCCTCTCACATTTTTTCAGCTCAGTACACTAAAAGGTATCGCAAAAGCTCCTGCTGTGGACCGTTTGATGCTGAACACCCTAAGAAGTAACAAAGCTGCCTTTTTAACCCCTAGAAGGTACGACGAGCCCCCCTGTTCTTTTTATATGGGAGTATCCCCCCGGAGATAATTGGCCACGGTTAAGGGGGCAACACGGAGAAGGATATTTTAGACCTTTCGTTCTGAACGGAGAACTAGAAAGGAGTTCCTCTGAAGGAAGTCCAACAATCTATGTTACTTTCCAATTTGACTTTCATCCAGATAATCCGAAAATTTTTTGATCAGGAAAAGTATTTTATTTCTCTCGTGCTGTTAAACGGCAAAATTTTCAGAAAAGCTTACAAATCCTTACTCCCTGAAGAAAGGAAATTGACAAATGGCAAATTCAGAGGGTCGCCAATGGCATCAGAGCTCATTTTCTGATTCGACATGCGAGGACGGTTTCACAGTATTCGACCTCGAAGTATACGTGGTGTTTGATCGAGACGAAATGTCCTCTTCATTTCTACTGTTCTCAGCACCTGACGTGGTGGAAGCCACGACATTTTTTAACTCTTCTGGATTGATAAAATAAATTAGTTCGTCTTCTTGTGAGTAAAAATCATCCATATCTAGTTCGCCAAAAATTGCTTCTCGCCCGCCTGGCGAAACCTCTTTTAGTTTCTTCTTCTTTAAACTGTTTTGATCTTCCTCTTTCTCCGTTACTTTTTCGCTGCCAGGGAGGCCAGGAAAATACGAGAAAGAATGCATACCGTTCACTTTTCGAGATAAAAATGAGTAGCTGAAGGGCAGAGACCTGAATCTGGCTACTGTTAGGGCCCTGTCGTAAGCCACTTTATGTTGCTTCATGCATTGATGGTTCGCTTCCATGCCGAGATAGTCATGGTGTGTTTCTCGAGATTTTGAAGGTAGCTTAGCCCTAAGCTCGGCTGTTTTGAGTAATTTAGGAAGTTTATTGTAGTATTCCTGTGTTTTCTGTTTGAGTGAATGTTTGCAGTATTTGTTTCTGTGTAACTTCTTCTCATCTCTTTGCGACTGTAAATACTCTTGCCCAAGCCCAGACGGCAATCCTTGGCTATTCTCGTCACCAGGCTGTTTTGCATCTGAATCGTCTTCAGAAGTAAAATCACTGCTATATTCGTCAGTTCCTTGTAGAAGAGACAACAAATCAGTGCTGGACAACCCTTTACGTGAACCTTTTGAATGTCTCTTTTTGGATTTCTCTGAACCAGGCCTTCTTTCGCTCGCGGTCTGATGCTCTCCATCCGGGATTTCGTCTCCAGAATCAAAACTCAAGTCGATATCGTTTGGATCCAGTCCCTCGATCAATCGTCCCTTCTGCCTTCGCTTTGTGCGCGCGAGAGACTTGGCGTCAATGGCGTCGGTGTCTGATTCCGTCACATGATCACTAAACACTACTTTTCGCCGCCCTTTATTGCTGTCGGTAGTCTGATAACCTTCAGTTGTTCTTTTGCCTTCTTCTTGAGCGTGTTTTCCTTCGTCTTCCCCAAAGTCGTAAGTGTAATCTTTATATTTGGTATCGAAACTCAGCTGTTTGATGTCTTTGGAAGTTTTGTTAACGAATTTCTGGAACTCATGGAGATCGTCCGTGTCGCCATCTGTGTTAGAGAAGTCAAAGTTCAGAGGGCTGTCCCCTGCATCTGCTCTCATCTTCATCAATACACGATCATTGTACACTCGTTCGCTCATTAGATAGTAACTTTCTCGCCGCTTGGGAGCCCATTGTACCTGTAAATAAAACGGTGTCAAAATCAGGCTTACTGAAACGCGTTAAAGTAAGAACAGAATTGAATAGTGATTAAAGCAATAATGTCTTGCTTTCGCTACAGACCATGCATGTCAGAGTCTAAAGCTGTTCAGTATAAACACGAAAAGTTAAAATAAGTTTGTGCAATAACGTTCCTTAATATAATGATGTTTGATACTGACTTAAAATTTACAAGTTGTGCCTGAAGGATTCCGGGTGCCTTTCTTTCACTATCTTCAATAGGCCATCTTCGTATTCTCGGCATTGGGCTGGAACTAGCTTTACAACGGAGGCTAATGCGCGGAGTCTTTTCAAATGCAAATGACATCAATCTCTTTTTCATGATATTCCCCGCACGAGCCTCCATTGCAAGCTAGTTCCAGTCCAATACCGAGAATACAAATGAGGCATATTTAAACTTTTGACGGAAGAAATTTGTTCATGTGGTGTGAGTCGAGAGAGTGGACGTCGAAAATACTGGGAACGTCGTGATTTTTCCAGCGGAAAGCGCGGGGAAACATCGAGCTCGTCGAAATAGAGAAAAACGCAAAATGAATAAGATACGGGCGATTAGCGCGGGAAATGTCGCATGTTGCACTATCACCACGTACAAGTAATCCCAGTTATCGAGTTCGGTGAATGTACTGGCCAGAGTAAACTCATCTTAAGTTTTGGAAGGTCATGTTTGACAGAGCCAGTTATCGAATTAGCACAGTCCGGTCTTCGACATTTGAATGGAAAATTACGACCACCCCTCCCCCCACCACCATTTCAGTGATAGAAAAAATGGCGCGTTTTGGGTTAAGCGCCGGTTCATCATTGATTTGAGGGGAGGAGTGGTTTTATTTCTTATTTCATTCTGATCAAGATTATAGCAATAACTAGACTTTATAAAATACCAAAACTGGAAGTTTGTGCGCGCCTCGTTCCCGTGCCCCGAACAGCAAGGCTGCGCATCTCCTCTGATGATGACGTAGCTCGTTCAGATCATATCGAGGCCGAGGTCTTCTTTGTGGGGAGACTGGTGACTTCTTTAGTGGTGTTAAGACTTTTTGCGCCGAGGCCTTTTTCTTCTGCTCGGCCAAAAGGTCAGCACAACGCCGGCGTTCAAGTTCCAAAGCAGCTTCAACTTTCTGGTGAGTGACAGAAATTTAGTCAGAAAATGTTTGAAGACATGCTTGATCATTGCAGTTATATACACAACTTAGACAATTGTGAAATTAAAGCCTGAGAAAAATCTAGGTTCGAACGGGGTGGTCATAAAATGTCAGACAGGGAAGATAAAAAATTGTAAGAACTTCACGCGTAATTGTGTAAAAAAATTTTACTATGATCTTTGTGGACTCGACCGAGGCGACAAAACTTTTGATTTTCGACTTAGTACTTTTCACAAACTGTATACTTTTTCGGAGTTAAATTTTTAATCTTTTCACTAAATACCTCAGCCAGAGTAGCGATACACACAACTTGACTTTATGTATATAAGTCGTATACTTCAAAGATAATTGGAAAATTCCCCGGCCGTATTCCGACTTTCAAATGTTGTAGTTTGAAACTAATTTTTCCAGGTTCTAGCAGCGTTCTTCAACAATTAAAACTTTAATGAAGTTTAAGAAGACCTGGTGAGTGAATAATTCACTAGTTTATAGGAAAATCAAACTGTCATTTAAAAACTCCTCACCTTTCTGTAGTGCTCGCCATAAGTCATTTGAGCGTATTTAGCATCTAAAGTGGAAGACAGGTTGCCCAGTATGTGATGGCCAGTGCTGAAATGTCGACCCTGAAATAATGTCCAAGCCTTATTAGTAATCATCTTCTTTAGAATGACTTAACCCCTAGCTTTATAGTGTGTTTGCTGTCTAACCCTATGCGTATTTGACTTACAGTGAAAAAATTAAGCATTGAGGCAAACGAGAAAGGACGACATAGCAATTTTTCTTGAGGTGTGGATCCTTTAATGTCCCCTACTAACCATGTAACAGTGAAGATGCAGGAGACGGGGCCTACAATTTATAGCCCTTATCCGAGAAGACTTGAACGTCTAAACATTTGCAGATATAATTACAAAAAAGGCAGCATATTCTTCTCAATTATCTTAAGACCCTGAGTGTTAGTCCCGTCTGGGGCTCGAACCCTCGAACTCCCGCACAGCAGTCTGGCGCTTTACCAACTGAGCTAACCAGACGGCGGTTGAAGAAGTTGAAGAAGTAAGATTGTAGGTGCCACATTCTTTTTGTTTGCGTTTTAAACAAGCAACTATAGTAAAGCAACTGAGTAACTTTCAATGTTGCAAGTATAGGTTGCAAGTGAACTTCTGTTCATGGAATACGTTTTTCAATATAGTTTCATTGATTTCCAGTCCAAACATATTCTAAGCCTACTTGAGATTTCCAAATATATTTTGTCTTTACGAATCCTTCACCGCACGATCAAAGAAAGCGGCTTTATCAGTAACTGAAAGGCAAGATGTGACAAGAAGAATTCCAAAGTAAACAATGATCAGCTAG